GGGGACAGGGACGGGGATGGGGACAGTGAGAGGCAGGAGGTTGGGGACGCACAAGGCCAGGAGGGCCGGGACGCCCCAGAACTGGGGTCTGGGACACGCAGCAGGGCAAGGGCACAGCCCCGGGGACACCCATGTCCCCGGGGATGGGGACAGGGACGGGGAGGGGGACAGTGAGAGGCAGGGGGTCCGGGACGCACAAGGCCAGGAGGGCCGGGGCGCCCCAGAACTGGGGGTCCGGGACGCAGCAGGGCAAGGGCACAGCCCCGGTGACACCCAAGTCCCCGGGGACGGGGACAGGGACGGGGACAGTGAGAGGCAGGGGTTCCGGGACGCACAAGGCCAGGAGGGCCGGGGCGCCCCGGAACTGGGGTCCGGGACGCAGCAGGGCACGGGCACAGCCCCAGTGACACCCATGTCCCCGGGGATGGGGACAGGGACGGGGACGGGACTCACCACGAAGGTGAAGCGCTTGGGCGACAGGGCGCGGTAGGGCGGCGAGCAGTCCCGCACGCAAACCTCCACGAGCGCGTCGTGCGCGCGCACCGTGCTGGCGTCCCCAATCTCGCAGACGATCCTGCGGGGACAGAGGTGGCCGGGGGTGGGGGGTGGGGCGACGTCCCCCTCCCCCACCGCCCCGTGCCCAGACCGGGGCCACTCACTGCTCGGCGCTGATGTACTCGCTCTCCACCGGGCTGCACAGCACCTTGCCCACGCGCACCCCGAGCCGCACGTCCTCGAAGCGCAGCCCCAAGTTCTCGCCCGTGATGGTCAGCCGCGTCCCCCCCTGCCGGGGCCCCGTCTCCGGCGACAGCTGCGGGGGGAAACCGAGGCAGGCGGGGGTGGGGGGTTTTGCAACGGGCGGGGCAGGGACGGACGGCAGGTGGCAGGTGGCAGGTGGCCGGGGACGCACCTTGAGGATCTTGGGGTCGGCGCAGCGGCTGCTGCCGTGGCGCGCGTGCATCCAGCCGGCCGGCGCGTCCGCGGGGCAGTGCGGGCGCAGCGAGCAGCGGCGCTCGGCCACGCACCAGCCGCACTCGAAGCGCGGGTCCGCCTTGAGGCACAGGCCGCAGCTCTCGCGCAGCGCCGGGCACTTGTACAGGTGCGCTGCGGGGCGGGGCGGCGGGGGCGTGGTCAGCTTTAACCACGCCCACCCCCGCGGGTGCCCCGCCCACTGCCCGCTCCGCCCAGCCCCGCTTTGGGCAGGGGAAGGAGGAGGTGTGGTCAGATTGGCCACGCCCACCCCAGCAGGTGCCCCCGCCCACCAGCCCCACCCCTCTTTGGGTGGGGGAAGAAGGGGGTGTGGTCAGCTTTAGCCACGCCCACCCCAGCAGGTGCCCCGCCCACTGCCCGCTCCGCCCAGCCCCGCTTTGGGCAGGGGAAGAAGGAGGTGTGGTCAGATTGGCCACGCCCACCCCAGCAGGTGCCCCGCCCACTGCCTGCTCCACCCAGCCCCTCTTTGGGCAGGGGAGGGAGGGGGTGTGGTCAGCTTAGCCACGCCCATCCCAGCAGGTGCCCCGCCTACCAAGCCCCACAGGGCAACCCCACTTTGGGCAGGGGAGGGAGGGGGTGTGGTCAGGGTTAGCCACGCCCACCCTAGAAGGTGCCACGCCCACCATCTGCACAGCCCAGCCCCGCTTTGGGCAGGGGAGGGGGTGTGGTCAACGTGGCCCCGCCCACCCTAGAAGGTGCCCCACCCACCACCTGCACCGCCCAGCCCCGCTCTGGGCAGGGGAGAGAGGGGGTGTGGTCAGCTTGGCCCCGCCCACCAGCCCGACCACCCCAGCAGGTGCACCCCAGCTGCCCAGCCTGGCAGTGGGTAGGCGAGGAAGGGGGCGTGGTCAGCTTGGCCCCGCCCACTCCCA